CTGATAGTTATTAAAATGTTGCCAAAATGTTGTTAAGCAGAAGCTGCAGAATCCGTGGTGGATGTAAATTTTTTGCTCTAGTTCTACTGTGAATGAAGTTCAACCTTAAAGCCTGTGCCACGTTAATTTTAGGGCTACCTTAAACTAAGGTCCACCTTAAATTTTGTGCCACCTTAAATTTAGTGCTATGCTCATAATGGTTCCACCTTAAATTTAATGCTATGTTAATTGAAATTCCAACTCAAATTCTGTGACACCTTAAATTCAGTGCTATGTTAATTCCAGTTCCACCTTTAATTCTGTGCCACCTTAAATTTAGTGCTATGGTAATTGCAGTCCCACCTTAAAAAGAGTTCCATTTTAAATTCGGTGCCACCTTAAACGAAATTCCATTTTAAATTCTGTGCCACCTCAATTTTACTGCTATGTTAATTAAAATGCCACCTTAAATTCTGTGCCATCATAAATTTAGTGATATGTAAATAGTAGATCCACCTTAAATGCAGTGCTATGTTAATTGAGGTTCTACCTTAAATTCTGTGCCATCTTAAATTTAGTGCTATGTTAATTGAAGTCCCGCCTAAAATTCTATTCCACCTTAAATTTAGTGCTATGTTAATAGCAGTTCCACCTTGAATTTAATGCTTTGTCAATTTCAGTTCCACCTTAAATTCTGTGCCGTCTTAAATTTAATGCTATGTCAATTGAAGTTCCACCTTAAAATCTGTGCCACCTTAATTTTAGTGGTACCTTAAAGAGAGTTCCACCTTAAACTCTGTGCAACCTTAAATTTAGTGCTATGGTAATTGCAGTCCCACCTTAAAAAGAGTTCCATTTTAAATTCGGTGCCACCTTAAACGAAATTCCATTTTAAATTCTGTGCCACCTCAATTTTACTGCTATGTTAATTAAAATGCCACCTTAAATTCTGTGCCATCATAAATTTAGTGATATGTAAATAGTAGATCCACCTTAAATGCAGTGCTATGTTAATTGAGGTTCTACCTTAAATTCTGTGCCATCTTAAATTTAGTGCTATGTTAATTGAAGTCCCGCCTAAAATTCTATTCCACCTTAAATTTAGTGCTATGTTAATAGCAGTTCCACCTTGAATTTAATGCTTTGTCAATTTCAGTTCCACCTTAAATTCTGTGCCGTCTTAAATTTAATGCTATGTCAATTGAAGTTCCACCTTAAAATCTGTGCCACCTTAATTTTAGTGGTACCTTAAAGAGAGTTCCACCTTAAACTCTGTGCAACCTTAAATTTAGTGCTATGGTAATTGCAGTTCCACCTTAGGTTCTGTGCCACTTTAAATAAATTTCCTCCTCAAATTCTGTGCTAGCTTAATTTAGTGCTATGTAAATTGAAGTTCCACCTTAAATTTAGTGCCACCTTAAGAAGAGTCCCACCTTAAATTTAGTGCTATGTTAATTGAAGTTCCACCGTCAATTCTGTGCCACCTTAATTTCAGTGCTACCTTGAAGACAGTTCCACCTTAAATTCTGTGCCACCTTAAAAGAAGTTCCACCTTAAATTCTGTGCCAGCTTAAATTTTTTGCTATGTTAATTCCAGTTACACCTTAAATTCTATGCCACCTTAAATTTGGTACTATGTGAATTCCAGTTCCACCTTTAATTCTGTGCCACCTTAAATTTAGTGCTTTGTTAATTGAAAAAGCCAGTTAATTAAGTTAAAACGTTAAAATGGTTGAAGACTGTTGAAAGTTGTTAAAATATTGGTAAAATGTTGCTAAGCAGAAGCTGCAGTATCTGTGGTGGATTCTAATTCGTTGCTAGATGCTAGCGTGAATGAAGTTCCACCTTAAAGTCTGTGCCACCTTATATTTAGTGTTACGTTAAAATCAGTACCTCCTTAAATTCTGTAATGCCTTAAATTTAGTGCTATGTTAATTTCAGTTCAACCTAAAATTGTGTGCCAAATTAATTTTTGTGCTACCTTAAATGGAGTGCCACCTTAAATTCTGCTCCACCTTAAATTTGGTGCCACCTTCAATTCTGTGCCACCTTCAATTTAGAGCTATGTTGATTGAAGTGCCACCTTAAATTTAATGCTAGGTAATGATAATTCCACCTTGAGTTCTGTTCCAACTGAAATGTTGTGATATGTTAACAGCAGTTCCACCTTAAATGTAATGCTATGGAATAGTAATTCCACCTTAAATTCTGTTACAACTTAAATATAGTGACTATTAATAGCAGTTCCACCTGAAATTTAATGATATGTTAATTGAAGTTCCACCTTAAATTCTGTTCCACCTTAAATTGAGTGTTAGGGTAATAGCAGTTCCACCTTAAATTTAATGCTATGGTAATTGAAGTTCCACCTTAAATTCTGTGCCATCTTAAATTTTTCAAGCCAACTTAATTACAGCTCTACACTTTTACACAGCCGGTCTATAGTAAAATAAGGAGCCAAATATATATGTTTCATTAGTGATATAGATATGATGAAGCTGAAGTTGGTTTCCTATTCGACAGGTTCTTGTTCGAATTTTCCCATTCCGGCGCTTTCATTCTGGCGCCTGAGGCGAAATATGGCTCATAGCTTTTATGTCACTGATCAGCTCTCAGGATTGGCTAAGTTAGAGAAATTGCAGCTGATAGCTGATTGCATATTTGGGCTGAAAATCACTGCTAATACATAGCTGATGGATTCTTCCATCTCTAGCTAAAATAATTAATATTAATATTATTACTAAATATGTTAAAATAAAAGTTTTGTAAATAAATAATTAAAAATAAATAAAGGCCTCAAAAACAAAACCGAACACAATGTCATTGGTTATAATCAGTGAACAAAGATAGTATGCCTCATGTGCATCTTAATGACATCAGCAAGATTCACTCAGGTATTATTCTTGGGTGTAATATATTCCTAAGAAAAAAAATTCTTTATAAAAAATAAATTAAAATTTGATTGACATAAGATAAATCTCTTCAATTGATCTATGAAGTACGAGACCTTAAGGATGTTTCATACATTTGGGATGAACTTGGCTCTGCAGGTGTTTGGCCTAGCGCATCGGTCATGCTCATTTAAGCATCAGTCATGAGCTGATTTGCTTGTCTACTGTGACTGTTCAATTACAAGCATAATGCAGCTCACTGGCAAGTTAAATTAATAAAGAAATTTATTTTTGATCACATCTGAACGTCTTTCTCTCTGCCGTATTGGCAAGACGGCTGTAAATAAAATCATGCACTCTGATTGGTCCTGGCCTGTATCTCAAGGAATTTTGATTAAGAGTCTGCTGCTGAGTGCGCGTCGTTGTGGTCCTTGCGGAAGGCCGCACTAAGGACACATTGAGAAAGCTTTTGAGTACCCCATTAAGATGGGAAATGGGACACCTTCCACCCTTGATTAGAACCAGATCTAGGCTTATAAATCATTAGATCTATTTGTATCTGTTTTTCTTTTTACCCCTACTGTTTTACCAGTTATTATAAAAAGTGTTCTGTGATGTGTCAGAATAATATTTTCTGTATTGTATGTATTTCAGAGTGAAACACAAAATTAAGGAAGGTCTCTGAGGTAGCTTACAGGGTTTTTTTGCTCAATTATAAACTGTATGGACAAACGTACTGGGAGATGTATGCATTACACCCACTGGAGCTATGACATCCTATTCTAAATTCTTAGGCATTAATATGGAGCTGGCCCCCCTTTTGCGGCTATAACAGCTTCCACTCTTCTGGGAAGCTTTCTACAAGATTGGAGAGTGTGTCTGTGGGAATTTCTGTGCATTCATCCAGAAGAGCATTTGTAAGGTCAAACATTGATGTGGGCGAGATGGCCTGGTTCACGATCCCCATCCTAGTTTATTCCAAAGGTGTTTGATGGGGTTGAGGTCAGGGCTCTGTGCAGATCAGTCAAGTTTTTCCACACCAAAACCGCCCAACCATGCCTTTATTCACCTTGCTTTGTGCACTCTACCAAACTTTACTGTCAGCTTAATGTAGTCAGGCAGGTAACATTCTCCTGGCTTTCGCCAAACCCAGACTCATCCATCCGACTGCCAGATAGAGTAGCGTGATTTGATTCCATTCATTCCATCTGATGCTTGGCATTGTGCCTGGTGATGTAAGGCTTGGCCATGGAAACCCATCACAAGAATCTGCTGGCACACAGTTTTTTCTGCTAATGTTAATGCCATAGAAGGTTTAGAAATGTGTCTTAGCCCATGGCGACCCTGCTCTGTAACTTTATGTGGTCTGTCACTTTGAGTTGCTGTGGTTCATAAATGCTTCCACTTTTCAATAATACCACTTGCAGTTGATCATAGAAAACTGACTTGTTGCAATGATGGCACCCTATTACAGTACCACGCTGGAATTCAGTGAGCTCCTTACAACCACCCATTTTTTCACAAATGTTTGTAAAGTGAGACTGCATGCCTAGGTGCTTGATTTTATAAATCTGTGGCAATGGGACTGAACAAAATACCTGAATGTAATCATTAAGAGGTGTGTCCCAATACTTGTCCCTGTAGTGTATGTAGGGGTGGTGGGAGAAGGAGATGATTATTTTTCACTGCTCAGTGGTGCATGGTGAGGAATCCACAGGTGTCAACACATAGTTTACCTGTACAAAATAGGGCATATAAGGCTGGGGTATAGGAGATCTAGTAGAATTCTCAAATTCTTGATTTGTTTCTCACATTTTGTTTAATTAGACTTACTACAGTGATGTGATCAGGCTGCAGTTGGTAGTGTGCTGATTTATCATGCATGCTACACAGACAAAACAAGGTCAGATTTCACCACATGTGAGAAATGAGCCAACCCATCAATGTGTCACTCACCAGAATTGAAAAATATGTTTTGTTGATCAGATTTGATAAATACCACTGTTGCTTGTATTCCACTACATCATTTACAACCCTTTATATACTTGAAAAGCGTGCTGTTTAGGCTAATGATTGGAGTAGAATCTCAAAAGGTTTGTTTTAATAACCATAACCTCCTCTTTGTCACAGGGACAGACGGAAAGATAAGGATGGGAAGACAAAGAGAGGAGATAACAGCGAAGACCGGAGAAGAGACAAAAAAGGCAGGACGCCTCCCAAAGGCTATGGCCGGTCCCCCCGATCCCACAGCACTAGCAGGTTAGCAAAACAATTAAAGGTGTACTGCACTCAATAATGATAATAGTCGTAGCCACCTAGTTGGGAAAAGATTGTGTGATAATGCAGACTGACCTCTGTAACCTTGCAATGTTTGCATTTTATCAATATTAGAATTTTTGGATGAATTGTCTACAAGTCTTTGGTGTGCGGAATTTATCTTGAAGATGTTGCACATTTACACACACTGAGAAATGTGAACACATTTGCTCTGTGTGTGTCTATATTGGCATCATAGTAGATCATATATTGAATTTTTGTTGTGCAAAATTATTTACAGTCTTTTACTTCCTGTATCATATCACAGTAAAAAGAGGCAAATGTATTATTTACAGAGGTCACAGAAGGAGAAGCAGAACACACTCCAGATCCCCAAAAAGAAAAGCAAGGTCTTCTTCACCAAAGAGGTAAATCCAGCTTGGTTTTGGCAACAGGGAGAAAGAGTTACACTTTGTGTCCAGACGTCTGTAGACACTTCTAGTTATTATTCAGCTACCTAAAGGTGCACCCATTGCTGACACAGGTGTTCAGTTGCGCACTCACAGCTTGGATAATCGCCATAGAAAAGGATTGCCAATAGATTGGGCTGCACATGAACCTAAGATCACCATGCTTATTGCCGAATGTCAGCTAGAGGGGTATAATGCCCCTCATCGCTGGCCTGTGAAGCAGTGAAACTCCGTTTTCTGTAGTGATGGCGCATCATCAGGTTCCCTTGAGTTAGAGTGGCCTCTGTGATCTAGAACTAATCATTACCTGACCTCACTAATACTCTTGCGGCTGAACAAAATCACATCCTCACAGCAATGTTCCAACATTTTAGTGTAAGGCCTTCCCAGAAGAGTAGACTTTTACTGCAGCAAAGGGAGAACACACTTCCTATTAATACCTATGATTTCTGAAGAAACAGGTGTCTACAAACCTTTGTGCATGTAGAGAACCTTTTTGCTCATACAGCCTGTTCCTAATTCTCCTAATAAAACTCAGCAAAGTAGTGAAATATCGTAGTTCTGTCATTAAGGTTCTTGATTTGTTCAGGGTTTTTTTTTTGTTTGTTTTTGTGCAGAGGGAAGAAAGAGAGGAAGAGAGAGCGTGTGTGGGACAGCAGCAGGGAGTGGAGGGAGAGGTCAACGTCCAGGAGGAGGAGCAGCAGAGACTCAGACAGACAGGAGCACAAAGCCAAGACCACCAAGGTGAGTTTCTGACACAGACTAAACACTGTCTTAGGCTGTGTTCACGTTGGATGTTTCTTCTATAAAAAAAAAAAAAGGTGCATGGAGCACTTTTTGTACTGAAATGAAAAGCAGCTCAATGCTTGCACTGTAACAATGAACCTGTTACTGCAGTGTTCTGTCTTGTATCCAGTTGCACCACTAACTAGCTAGCTTAGTTAGCTTTTTAGTTAATGTTTGCTAATAGATTTATTTCTCATTATTTGCAGAGTGGCTCTGCAAATGGCCAGATGCATTTTTTCCACCCTTCATCTTGATTGCTTTCACTAGTTCCACTAAGCTGTGAACAGATTGGTCTGCTGATTTAAAAAAAAACAAAAAAAAACTTGACATCATTTGGTGGTTTTCTGAAAAGCTGAACTTTTACGAACTTCAGAAAGCACTTCGTTCCTATGGGAGGAAAAAAAGGCTGGCTGCAGCTCGTCTAGCCTTATCCATTTTTTATACACTAATTCACACACAAAACAAAAATAAGCCTGTAGTTTTTCTAAGTGTTTCATTGGGATTCTGTGTGGTTCGGACACCCCTAATGCCATTGTATGTAAATGTAATGCATGCAAATTGGTGCATTTTACATCTGTGTTTACTATTGAAAAGTTAGGGTGGTAACTGTTCACTGGGAATACTGCTCTGTGCTGCACCACCTTGTTGAACTCCGTATGCCTTAACACACATTCTTCAGTACTGTTGTTTTGCTCTAAAATGACCTAATTGTCCCAGTTTGCCATCAGTAAACGTCAAACAAGTTGTAAAAGATAAGCTTTTTACAAAGGCTTCAACGTATTTCAGGGCTTTGTCTCTGACTGTTGTTCTAGTTTTGAGGAGATAAAGAACAGATGATCATGGCCGATCCTCTTTCAGATTATTACGTCTGCACGCTTTCTTTGTATGTCTGCTGCTGATCACAATCAGTAGAATTATGTTCTACTTTTGATTTTGTTTCCACTTAACAAGGTCACAGAATGTGGGGGGGAAAAAACATTTGTAAAAATATTTCCCCCTTATTTCTTTTGTGGTAAAAGAACCAAAGCATTTCTTTGCTTTGTATTGTATTCATTTATATAAAGTATTTACACACTTTTTTCTGCAAAGCATTCTACAAAGGCTGCAATTCCTAACACTGTGTCCTAACAGCAAACAGGCGTTCAAATGTAATGTCGCACTGCAAAACCTTCAGGATGTCTGCACTGGAAACATCCAAGTGTGCATGTCAAGTCAAAAGTCTTAGTTCCAGTGAAGGTTGTTGGTCCTGTTTCAGTATGGCAAGGTCAGTGAAGAAATAGTTTGCTGAGTTTGGTGTAGAAGAACTTGACTGGCCTCCTTGGTGCTCTGACTTGAACCACATCCTTCACCTCTGGGAAGAATTAGAACACCAACTGTGAGCAACACCTCATCACCCAACACCAGTATCTGACCTCACTAATATGGCCTACAGCCATATTTTACATTTAACACAAAATTTAATGAATACAAATATTCTAAAAACTTTAGAAACAATCTTGATAACTTGCCTAAAACTGCATTAGGCAGCGAGATCTCAGAAACATTTGTGAGAATGTTGTTGCCATTACAACAGTGGGCATATATGGATGTGCTAGTTAGATTGTCTTAGAAACAAGATTTTTTTTGCCCAGTGCTGAAGTGTCTAGTGTGTAAAAATCACCTATCCTCTGTTGCATCACACTGTGGAGCTCCAGACTGCTTCTGTAAACAACATCAGCCCAAGAACTGAATCTAATTAAACTGAATCTCATGAAGTGGATTCATATGGCCGAGCAGTTGCACACAAATATCACCATGCGCAATGCCAAGCTTTTGCAGAAGTGGTGTAAAGCAAGCTGCTACTGGACTCTGGAGCAGTAGAAATGTGTTCTCTGCAGTGATGAATCATGCTTTACTATCTGGCATTCTGATGGACAAATCTGGGTTTGGCAAAGACATTTCAGACAGTTACATGCGTCCAATTTGTGGCAACAGTTTAGGGAAGGCCCTTTTCTGTTTCCTGTTCCTGGACCTTTTTGTCTCTTAAAATATCCTTGCAGTATATCTGCAGTGACATTGTATGAAATTAGGTTCAGAGCAGTTGTGTTTTGTTACAGGCTGGAAAACAGTATGAGGAGAGGGATTATGAGAGTGAAGTTGACGGTTCTGACTCAGCTGCCAGTGAATACCTGTCTCCCCAGGCCCATCACAATGGCAGCTACAGCAGCACACATGGAGAGGAGGAATTCTCCACAACTGAGTGACCAAGCTAAAATCTATATCCAGCTGACCCAGGAACAGCCACTGTGACAGGGGTTCCATTGTGTGTAACTGTGGCAGGTAATTTGGGACACTGGTCTTAGAATTGGTTAAAGATGTGTAATGTACTTTTTATAAATTTCCATGTCCTTCTGCATACTTTTTTCTTAAGCTTCCACAGGTCATGCAGTTATATTCTTCACCAGAAGCTCTTTTCTGCCAAGGTCAGCCTGCTGTTTGTCATATGGTAACTCCTAAAATATGGACCTAATGTGTGATGCTATGTAAGAGATGAAAAGATGCTTATATGTTGTTATTTGTTTTGGTTTATTTTTCTTTAGTTATTTTACACACGTGCACAGATACGTATATTTCTGTTAATGTCTGTTTTTACCTTACTTAAAGATGTGGAAACACTATTGTATATTTGAGTTGTATGCCCTTTCTGCCCATCATACTAAAATACAGAGCCATAATTACTGTATAAGCCAGGGGTGCTCAGTTCAAGTCCTGGAGATCTACAATCTAGCAGAGTTTAGCTCCCAGCCCAGTCTAACACACCTGATCTGGGTAATAAAGGCCTTCAGGGGCATCTGAATATTAGAGCCATGTGTGTTGGATCTGAACTCTCCAGGGTGTAGATCGCCAGGACCAGAATTGGGCACCCCTGCTATAAGCACACATTTTATGTTATTGGTTATTGTGGTTAACTAAGGAAATGCTCTCAAGACAGAGTTTAACTGACCAGAAATGGGACTTCAGGGGACCTGTGTGAAAAAAGACACATAACATGTAAAAAGTGCCTGGAAAAAGATTATAAGCAAAATATTAAATATAACAATGGAAGAGATATATCTGTTACATTTGTCTGACAACTTACTGACACAGCTGATGAATATGTACTAGAAAAGTGTTAATTACTTAACCTGTACAGATTTGCATTCGTGTGTGTGTGTGTGTGTGTGTGTGTGTGTGTGTGTGTGTGTGTGTGTGTGTGTGTGTGTTTGCCTAAAAAGTTAGGACAGGGGCATGTTTACCACTGTGCTGCATCACTTCTTCTTTTAACAACACTCTAAGCGTTTGGGAACTGAGGAGACCAATTGGTGTAGTTTTGAAAGTGAAATGTTTTCCCATTCTTGTTTGATACAGGATTTCAGCTGCTGAACAGTTCCAGGTCTCTTTTGTCGTATTTTTAATTTCATAATGCGCCAAATGTTACCAATGGGTGACAGGTCCGGACTGCCGGCAGGTGGTTTTCAGAAGTGCTCCTGAGCCCATGCAGTGATTTCCACTACAGAATCATGTCTTTTGTTACCCGGTTTTCTCCCCAATTTAGTCGTCTCCAATTCCACCCGCTAGCTAGGACTCCCCCAGTCACACGATGCTATCAACGCTAGGAGGGTGAAGGCTAACACAGGCTTCCTCCGAGACCTGTGAAGCCAACCACCGCTTCTTTTTGAGCTGCCGCTCATGCAACGTCACTGGACAGCCGAACGCGCTCGGAGGAAAGCGCCAACCGCCAGATCTGTTACGTCAGCTAACAGACGCCTGCGCTGACTAGCATCGCGCTGAGTGATGGGGGGAGAAGGAGGGGCCATCCTACCCACCCAGAGAGAGCGAGGCCAATTGTGCTCTCTCGGACTCCCGGCTACGGATGGCTGTAGCATCACCAGGGATCGAACTCGCGATCTCCTGATGATAGGGCCAACGCTTAGACGGTTGCGCCACTCGGGAGCTCGAATCATGTCTTTTTAATGCTGTGCCGCCTGAGGGCCCAAAGATCACGGCCAGCAAATACTGGTTTTTGGCCTTGTCCCTTGCATACAGAGATTTCTCCAGATTCTCTACATCTTTTATTGTTATTATGTACCGTAGATGATGAAAAGCAAAAGTTCTTTGCTATTTTACATTGAAAAACGTTATTCTTGAATTGTTGCACTATTTGCTCGAGCAGTTTTTCACAGAGTGATGAACCCCTCCTCATCTTTACTTCTGAAAGACTAAGCCTCTCTGGGATGCTTTTTTTTTACCCAATCATGTTACTGACCTGTTGCCAATTAACCACCAGGTGTTTTAGCATTACACAAATTTACCAGTCTTTTGTTGCCCCGTCCCAACTTTTTTGAAATGTGTTGTTGGCATCAAATTCAAAATGGGAATATATTTTTCAAAAAACAATACAATTTCTCAGTTTCAATATTTGATATGTTGTCTTTGAAGTATTGTCCTTCAAAATTTTGTTATGTTGTCTTTGAAGTATTTTCCTTCAAAAATATGGTTTACATGATTTGTATATCATTGCATACTATTTTTATTTACATTCTGCACAGCGCCCCAACTTTTTTGGAAATGGGGTTTTGTGTGTGTGTGTGTGTGTGAGTGTGTGAGTGAAAAGTAATGGGACACCCCTACTAATTATTGAGTTCATGTGTTTCAGCCACACCCATTGCTAACAGGTGGATAAAATTAAGCACATAGCCTTGCAATCTCCATAGACAAACTCTGGCAGTAGAATGGGTCGTACTGATTAGCTCAGTGACTATAAACATGGCATTGTTGTAGAATGACACCTGTGTCACAAGTAAATTTTAAAGCATGCCGCCACTGGACACTCGAGCAGTGAAAATGTATTGTGTGGAGTGACGAATCACGCTTTTCTATCTGGCAGTCTGACGGACGAGTCTGGGTTTGGTGATTGCCAGGAGAACGTTACCTGCCTGACTGTATTGTGCCAAGTGTAAAATGTAGTAGAGGAGGGATAATGCTAAGAGGGTTGGTTTTTTTGGGGGGGGGTTTGGCCCAGGCCCCTAAGTTCCAGTGAAGAGAAATCTTAATGCTTCTGCATACCAAGACATTCTGGACAACTGTACGCTTCCAACTTCGGGGGAACAGTTTGAAGAAGGCCCTTTTCTGTTTCAGCATGACTGTGCCCCAGTGCATAAAGGTTCATAAAGGCATGGTTGGGTGAGTTTGGTGTGGAAGAGCTTCAACCCCATCAAACGATAAACTAGAACAGAGATTGCGAGCCAGGCCCTCTTGATCAACATCAGTGTCTGCCCTTACAAATGCTCTTCTGGATGAATGCACAGAAATTCCCCCAGACACACTCCAAAATCTTGTAGAAAGCTTCCCAGAAGAGTAGAAGCTGTTTTAGTTGCAAAGAAGAGACAAACTTCGTATTAATGCCTATGGGATTAGGATGGGATGTCATAAAAGCTTGTGTAGGTGTCCCAATACTTTTGTCCATATAGTGTGTATGTCTGTCTGTATACATATATAATTTTAATGTTTTATTACAAGGGCCTGCATTGACTAGTAAAAACAATGTAAAACAATAAACAATTTGGGTAATAGATTTACATTAGTGAACTTAAAGAAGCTTCTGAATGTTATTTTTATGTTATTGTTTTTGTTCAGGCAGCGATTTTGTGATTTGGACGTACAAAATGAATATATGACTTTAGAGAGAAAAAACCCAGTGTGTGTGATTCTGTGGATATACGTAGCCTATTTTTGAAAACAAAATATATAACTAAATAAATTAGATTTCCCTAACAAAAAACATTAAAGAGGTTCTACCTCAAACTGATAATGGTTTGGAGATGTTTTTAGCACACACTGTAAAACCCTACTGAAATTGCTTGGATTTTTTTTTCCTATTCTGATTGTGACCAAATATGAATTATGCAGACCAAAACTCATGTTGTACAGACATGAAACTTGTATGTATGTTAATAGGGAGTGCTATAACTAGGGGTCGACCTATAATCAGAGTCAGTATTCTGCGTTTTTCCGATTAGCAGAATCAGCATTTGAACTTGCCTACTTGCCGATAAAGCACTTTTTAATGTATGCGCATATGTGACGCAACCACGGTCAACGAAGCACACTTCTGTAGTCTGGCCCAACGTCCTGCCTGTACTGGACGTTACTTTATTGATTATAATGTGGATGGATGACTCATTGAAGAAAACCAGCACTTCTGTATTCTATCTCTATCTCTATTTCTGTGTTTGAAATAACATATTGTGTATTGTATACTGCTTACTGCATCAGTTTATACCGTATACTACATATTGCTTATCATCAGTAATATACAGTACAGTATCCAGTATTTGACACATGCCGTGTCCCGTACTACAGGAAAGGGGCGCGACCAGAGCCGTATAGAGAGAGAGTAGCGTCAACGGAAGTTCAAAATGCTTGATGGTCACGTGATTCATGTAGACTTCACATAGTTCCAGGAAGTTCTTTGCGGGCAATTTAAACCCATAAACACTCAGCGACAGAACTGCGTCTTTTGGTACTTTAAAGTCAATAAATGCCCTGATTTACAATATTTCTATAGAAAACCAACGTGTGTGTGTAGGTACAACAATATATTTTAAAGTCAAATTCGCTACTATTTGAGGATTAAACAGCTGTCGTTACCTGCCTTGTTGATAGGTTAATGTGAACATGGTTTTAAAGTGTGTTTTCGTTGTTTCATTGCTTTGACTTTTCAGTATTAAAGATGTTATGTTCTTAAACGTGTATGGTAGTTAAGATCAGTCATAATGTTTACTGATATACTTAGAGGGAGGGGAGGGGAAGGAATGTTTCAAAATTGAGATCAGATTCATTTTCAACATAAATATAATTAACATAAATACATCTTTAATTAATGGTTGTTTCAGTAATCCCAAGGCCTAGATAATTTTAATGACTTGATGACCACTGTAAACTCTGACTTTCCGAAAGGACAGAAGGAGAAGGAGCCAAAGAAATTTGTTTGGCTTGCATATGAAAAAAAATCACATCCAGACAGGACATAATAAACACATCTATTTATATTTGTTTGTACACATATAAACACATTTCATATATCTTGTCTTTTTACTATGCACGTATTTACTGCGATGGATTCATTAAATAAAGCTATAACGAACTCAAACATGAATAGCCTGGCAGGCAGTTTGTCTGTGCCCTTTTCTCTATGTTGTCCTTGCATATAGTCCCCACCATGGTTTGCTCTGCTGCATGGAGATGCTTCAGTCGCTCGGAGAAAGGAGTGAAATGTTTGGTTTCTCCACTGACACAGAGGGAAGAAAAAACTGCTGGCTCAAGTCAGCAAGAGCAATTACTAAATTACTTACCATCACTAAAGATTACAACAACAACGTGACATTGCATACGTTTCACAAACAAAAGCCACACCACTGGGAAGCTTAACGTTTTATTTATTAAAAATAAGGAACAGGTAAAGAATTGCAAAACCCAGGGAGTTGAGACTCCCTGCAGGGCTCTTATGACATTAAGAGCAGGGATTTTTCCATTACTTGGCTGTTTATGGTTAACATTATGGGTTCCTAACTTTACTCAGTACCCTTGCCTAATCTGTTATCAGTTAATGTTCCTTAAATCTACTAATTTAATCGGGGATAATCCACCGGCATACTTTAATATACATGTTAATTTGATTCAGATGTGCTTATTATATACAATCTGATTCTTTAGTTAATTGTTTTACCCTTTTAAAGTGCATCACAACCGGTCTATTCTGCTGCAACTCGGCCGCGCTGCTAGTATTTGCTGATAACTTCCGGGAACTATTAAGGGGCTCCATGATCCGCCATTGCTGTAGGTCCATTGGAGTGAACGGAGTTGGCGCAACTCTCTCTCTATACGGCTCTGGGCGCGACTAGCCTGCTAACATCTGGGACTGAGTCAATCAGACCATCTCAAGAGTCGCCCCATTCTTCCTCAGCCTTCTCTGCTTAGCAACCATTGCTGACCACTTTTCAGCATGTAGGTTTATATTTTGGTCGAGAGATGTGCCTGTGTGACTTTTACTTACAACAACTTACACCCCATACTATGATGGAGGGCAAAACTCCAAAAATGTCAACTTTGTGGTAAACCTATGTGGTTTCCAAACACACCTGTTTTCCGTTTGCGAGCTATTCATTATCATTAAACTCATGGTTGGTAACTAGCTATATGAGCTAGTCTGACTGAACTCAAGCACTGTAACTCACGGGAGCCTAAACAAAGCCAGTACTGAGCGGACAAGTTACTGTTTTTAACACGTTATGCAGAAAGTTAAAATAGACAAAGTAAGCCAATCCACTTTATGACCAGCCGAGAAAGCTCTTGTGGCTTCTGAGTGCAGTAGCATTTGGTCAAACTTCTTTCCTTTTGCTGTTTCAATGCATAGAAGAAAGGCCGAATCATAGATATACATATGCCGCGTTGGGTCCAGCCAGGCACGTCAACATCGCTGCAGGTCTGCATTCAGTACCATTACAGAGCGGCAGTTTAAGAAAGATACTGTCCAAAATTATACTTTTTCAAGAATATTGCACTCAGAAAACAGGATAGGATTATATAACGGAGGGAACACATCGATCCACGCTTATATTTGTGTGATGCGTATTGTTTTTGTGATGTCTATGTGTAGATGGCCGTGTGGTTGTTGAGGCACAAAGAACCTTTTGATGTGATTGTTTTTCCTTTTGTTTTATATTAAGCTTATTTCATTTAATAGTCTTTTCAGAGGATCTTAACTTCATGTAGTGGTTATTACAGTTATGGTTAATGCTTTATAGCATTCTTTAATCCGTGTAGATAACAGATTAACGTTTGCACCTTCTAACAGTAACCTGAAGTTAGCTTCTTTGCCAGCTTCTTGTTTGAATTTTCCTGTTCCACCTTACATGGTGCAGCTTCAGGCACCAGAAAGTGACTGCTGCACCATTTAAGGTTGAAAGGAAAAACTCGAACAAGAAGCTGGCGAATAGGAAGCCAACTTCAGCTTCTTCATCTTTACTGTGTTTTGGGGGATTTATTTTATTTTTATGTGTATAAGATTAGAAGTGATTCACACATTGATGGATTTGCTGATGTGTGTGAGATTATATGTTTCTACCGGAGCTCGCACTGATCTCGGTTTTTAACGTCAGGTGCAGACTGAATAGACCACTGTAGTCGTGTTGTCATTTTGTAGTCGGCGCCATGCTCTTATGCCCATAGTAGGAATTCCGGGTCTAAGCTCCATTTCTCTATGGACAGAATGAATAGGGTTTTCGAAAAATCGCCATTGTCGCACCCTGTGTTAAATGAACATGTTCAGAACCCAATACGTTTTGTCCTATGAACATTATTCTCTCGAATACCACTGGATCCTCTGAATTACGTGGTCGTTAAAGAGTTGAAATATGAATATTGCTACATGTAAGCTAAAGCTTAACATGTTAAAATTAGAATTTTAAGTTTTAAGTTACTGTTTTTGCAATCTATAGTCTAAAGCGTAAAGCACTTTTTGCTAAAACTTTTTTCTAATACTTTTTTCTAAAACTTTTGTTCTAATATTTAATGTAAGTTGTAAGAATTACTTCTTGTATATGTTCACACGACAAACATCAAATTTATGGTAAATGAGTATTCGCCCCAAATATTGGTTATAGGGGTGGGAATCTCTAGGCACCTCACGATTCAGTTACGATTCAGAGGGCTGCGATGCAATTATAAAGCGATTATCGATGCATTTTGATGCAATGTTTTTTTCTATACAGGATTTCTTTTTCTCACTGTGTGACAACTTGGAACTTTTAAAGCAAAGTATTTGTGATGTTCCACAATGACTTTAAATATCTTTTATTAATAAAACAAATGAAAGTGATGTGGCAAGTGAACTGGAAGGCTCTCATTCACTGCTCTTGAGCACGAGACACTGGCTGCCACTCATCTCCGATAAAATGCGCCGCTACGGTGAAATAAAATTCTGTGGCAATGGATTTCCACCCAGCAGATTACAGTTATTCTACCTGTTTTCTTCAGTGATTTCATAACTTGGGTTTTGGTCTCGTTGTAGATAACTGGGGGGTCGCTGTGTCTGTAAAATATCTTTGAGACAGGACGCTGTATCTCGGCATAGCGCAAAAGCCCTGGTTCTCAAAGCCTGAGTACGGATGCAAATCCTTGGCAATAAAAGTTGGGTGGAAGTTTTGACATCGCTCGCTCGATGGTCTTCTGGTTGGCAGCAACTACAACCGGACGGAAAATGGGTGGAAACGTGTACTATCGTTTTCCCCCTTAACTCCACAGAAGCCAAAGTGCTTCCATACGTTAGCTCAAGGGTCGGCAACCTGCGGCTCTTATGCTGTCCGGTTGCAGCTTCACATCGAAATTTGACTTCTAGGTAAAAATGAAGTAATCCTACTTTGCAGTAAAATAAAGCTCTGCTGATCATTCAAACACAGTTGTAACAATAAATGATCTTAAACGCTGGAATTAATGTAGCCTATAACTGCTAGTTCACCTAGCTAGTAGCTAACGAAAAGGCAAAGAGAAAGATTTAAGACGAACATCGATAATTTGGAAATGAATGGGCTTATTTGCACTTATAATCAGTCATCTGGTTTCCTGATACATATAATCAGCAACGAGAAACTGCCAAACTCTAACACGTGAAACTGAAGTCTGTTTCTCATTCGCCAGCTTCTTGTTTGAATTTTCCCATTCCATCTTAAATGGTGCAGCAGTTACATTCTCGTGCCTCAGGCACCATTTAAGGTGGAAAGGGAAAATTCGAACAAGAAGCTGGCGAACGAGAAGCGACTTCAGCCTCGCAAAAAATAGAACATTGAGGGACATTTTACAAGAAACTACTAGTTCTACTTCTGTGGAAAAGTTTCCAATTGGTGATGCAAGAAAAAGCGGCTACAGCTGAGCTAAAGCTTAAAGTAGAGCAAAGTAAGTCTGCATTTTTATTTGTATTATATTTTTAGACTACCCTAGGACATTAGCACGTACTGAGACATATTTACAACCAAGATGGTAAAATGGACTCAAAATGTTGTTGTTGAAAGGACAAAATGACTCTTATTAACATTTGGGTTGCCAACCCCTGAACTAGCTTTTAATGTAGTGTGCTGCCACAGACTGTCCAGGTGCTGCAATTCTGCACTTTGCAAAGTTCCGCCTTTTGCATTCCATCAACATTACATTATCAATAAAAATTTAGAAAATCGATTTTTGACACTTGTGAATTGATTCAGAATTGTCCATGTCCACGTCATGATGCATCTAAGAATCGATTTTTCCCCCCACCCATAGTTATTTGTGTCTCTGATTAGTAATAATCAGTATCAGTTATCGGCCCTGGAAAAATTATATCAGTCGACTCCTAGCTATATCATACAGTTTGCTTTTTTTTCTCAGGTTCTGCATATCTGATCAAGATGGAATTGGGCATACTATGTTTTTGAGGTAGTGTGTAAGAGAGGATGAATACATGCATGGAATAGATGGCCACTGTTGGCCAGTAAGCTGTTACCAGCCCACAAATACATTTAAATTTATTCAAAATCATAATCATTACTGTCTGTAAACTGGAGATTGAAGGTTGTCAAGTGATTAAAGACTTAGAGCTGAACAACTTTGCAATTACAAGTTTTGTCACAAATTGTCAGGAATTGTGGATTATTTGTAAAAATGTTTATTGCTTGTAACACAAAGGTCAAAAGGTCAACCCGTTCAGAATTGAGCATACATAGTTGGAGACACTTAAAAAATCATGAAAACTCTGACTGTTTATTTGTCTGTATAAAAGGCAAGGCCCCATGTTTGCACATAAGGTAGAGTCCTTGGACCCCATGGGTTGCCACTCATGGCAATACTCGTGTATATATTAGTTGGGCTCAGCTGTCCTTTACTTTATGTGAAAATTTCATGATTACTGGAAAAATAGAAATGCTCCAAAATTGCACTGAAAAAATCTCTTTATATTAAATTACACTTAAAGTAAAGAAAGTTTTTGCCCTCTCCTGTTATTTTGGAGGTGCTTGTTTTTCTTAGGACAGTGATGATATATGTATTTTTGGTTTTCTTGGTAACTCTAAATTAGTATACATATATGAAGACATTATTCTGAAAATAGATTTATAATTTGCAGCATACATTTCATAAAGTTGGTGCACAGTGATACAGTCTGCATTATCAGAAGCATCTCTCATGTTGTGAATTCTCCGCAAAACTGAGTGCCTGGCGAATGTAGTCCTGTCCTGAATTTGAGGGCACTGTGTCAGAGTTGCCCGTCTGGCTGGGAGGATCCTGATCCCCAGCCTTGGATATTTGCTGGAACAGCTCCATGGTAGTGTAGTCACTAACAAAGACCACAGCTGGTTTTGCTACAGTTGTGGGGACACAGTCTATAGCTCTTGTATTTGAGGTGTCAACCATAGTGTTGGCTGTGCTGTCTTCACTGCTGTCACTGGTGTTAATGGGTGGGACAAGTGCAGAATCATTCTTGTTACTGTCTGTGAGAATGGCCTCAGCAGATACAGAGTCTGTGGTACTTAAATGTGTAGGAGACTGAGGAGTCAGAGTGTCCTCAGCCACTGTTACAGGTGTAAGGGTGGCCTTTTTACAGTCCTGCGAGATGAAAGCGAGTTTGCTGGAACAGCATGCATCCTTTTTGACCTCTACCACACTTACATGTTCCTCAGTTTCCTCAAGATTCTGTCTGTAGAGGGGCTCAAACATCTCCTGAAAAACAAAAAAACGAAGATGGCTCCATTTATCTTTAATTTCTTTAATTTCTTAAAAAAAAAGTCTTTAATTTCTTAAGCTTAATTTCAAACTCTGTGTACTTACCAATTCCTGACCACCTTCAATTTTCTGCACAGCATTACTGTTGCATGGATTTGGTATGCTTGGCCATAGCAGATTCTTGGATCTAGGTGACAGGGATATGTTAGATATCATCATACTGGTGAGGTTGTGTGAATAATGAGGTAAAACCTAAAAAGTGATGTTTTGACAGTGATTCTCAGAACCATCTGTGACTTCACCTATGCAGAAGACGGCAGCAGACATGAACAGCCAGCAACAGAGCGATGATCCCCACGACAACTCCTGCCAGCATTCCACCTATTGCTATTGCATCTGGAGAGGGCATGCATTCACTAACATTTTTTTGTGTAATTGAATCCAAGAAACCAACAGTCTGCAGTAACTATGACTTCATTTATATATAAAAAAAACAAAACTGAAACCATTAGACAAAAAATGAAACTGCATGTTTAGCCTCAAGAGATCTGCTTCCTGACACAGCCGATGCAGGTACTGAGCACTGTAACTACTAACTACAGCAGAGACTCTGGAATCCTTTACGCTACTTGAATTGATGGAGTTATTTTACAATTATTTCTTCCTAAAAACTTTCTGCTTGCACACACTATCCAATTCCACTTTTAACAATTATTTGCTATGTAGAAACCTGCCCTTGATCCATGTGAGCTATCAAATTATAGACCTATATAAAAAATCCCTTTATTTTGGGGATTATGGAGAAAGCTGTTTCACAACAGCTAAGTTCATACCAATAAATGAGAATCACACATAAAAAATTTCAGCCAGGATTCAGGCCTCATTATAGTACAGACACAGCATTAGTGAAATTGATAACCGATCTGTTATTATTCTCTGACCAGAGCCATGTATCATTGCAAGTTTTCCTTGATCTAAATGTTGCATTTAACACCATAGACTACACTATTTTAATAGACAAGCTAGAAAACCTTGTTGGAGTCACAAGAATAGCCCTCTCTTGGATAAGATGCTAACTGACTCTCAGTTGGTAAATGTAAATGTCGAAGCATCTGCACATAAAAAATGGTGTCCCACAAGGTTCTGTTCTAGAACATCTAAAATTCTCATTATATATGCTACCAGCTTCCACTGCTATGCTGATTACACAAATGTATATGGATCATTCTGCTGAATTGGTTCTGAGTTCAGAATCTATTTTGGACTTTTCACTGATTTGGACTATAAAATTAATTTTAAAATCTTTGTAAAAAAAAAAATTAGGGGTGAGGGGAGAATCTCTATATATTTAGCGTATTTGGTTCATCTGAGTTAATATCCTTAATGCAATTTTTATTTTTTTGTTAAGTAATGCCTTTTGTTCAAACAGATTGTAATGTCTAATTCTTGTAAATATCTAAGGTCTGAATGTTGTTTTACATAGGTGTTTTTTTTGGCAGACTGAAGTTTGAACTAATTTGGTAGAATGGTCAGTATATCGGCCTAACCAGATAATATAATAATATTCGATTTGGTAAAAGACGTAAATGACTGGATGTCAAATACCTTCCTGTATCAAGTAATATTCAGGATAGAATCTGCAAGACTGCACTGCAGATGAATGCAAAAACGTCACATATTTTTCTTAAGTTCAGTATGTAAGGAATAGATTCACCTCACTCCTCCCGACTGTTCCTCTTAGTTGGTGTTTTACAGCACTGTCAAAATTACTTCACATGAATGTGATCAGTACTCCTGGTTACAGTGCCCTTAACAGCAAGATACGTCAAGAAGGCTTTGTGCTCATTTTTTTCTCTTCATTTTACCACTGAAGTATTTTCCTGAAGTGATTTTATGCTACTCAGGCCAAAATTCACTTCATGGAATAATTCACAGAAAAATCTAATTTAGACAAATTTACCCCTTACTCCAACCTACAAGGCTAATGTAGCAAACAAGTAATGGAAGATGATTTTGGGTAGGTAAGGGAGAAACTGTAAATTGATCAATTCCTTTAAAGCTAAAATTCACTTATATTGGGTTCATTGTGTTTCCCATGAATACAGAGTTTCATTTGGGGCACTACACACATTATCTGACAATATAACATCAGTTGACCCTGATAAAGATCAACTAGGCCAAAACACTGGCATGCTGACTTATCATTGATATGGCCTAATAAATTCAAGTACATTTAAAGGTGTTGTCCGTGCTTAACTCATACTGATGTAAGTGCTCCCTTCACCTACTATGCTGCTACTTATAATTTAAAAGCCATCATTTGGCTTCTTCTTGGTTGACTGCACCTCCAGTTTCCTGGGTATGTTGAATATAACACATAGTTTGAAGAAATGCAAGAGTAAAAGCTAAAACTTACCTGGGTTTGTTTTAATGTACGTTAAGGCACTTCGCTTTCCCTGTCCTGCAGCCGTGTATGCGGACAGCTGCACATGATACTCATTTCGGCTTTGCAGATTAATCAACTTGTAGCTGTTCATATGAGGATCCACTGTGATGTCTGGAAAAACAGAGTGACAGGCAAAAATGTGAGAAGAAATAATTTTGAACAAAAAACAACAATGGGACATGCTTGTCAGGCAACATGTAGACTGTAGACTGTAGACCCCTCCTACCCAGTGGAAACAATCTTTCATACATAAAGCATGTGAGGTAAACAGGTTATTTTGTGGTTGTCATTTGTTTGTTACATGTATTTTAATCAACACATTTAATCAATTTAATTCATTGCAGTTGACTATGGCATGTTCTTTTATTGATGGAACAGGCTGATATAATATGCCATGAAATGTGTATTGAACACATAAATTCATAATTTTTTCATATAGCACAAAAACAACACGTTCATGAAGTACTTTAAAGCCCATATTGTGTATGTAGCTCACAATCAAACATTTAGTTGCTGCATTTCAGTAATATAGTGTTTGACTTGGGATAAGGTGTTTATAAAATGCCACATGCCAATTTAGACAATGGAAGGATGTGTGGGTGGAACTACATGCAAGAACATTAAGGACCAAGAGGAAGGAAGGGATGACAATCCCTGATAAATTCTGAATACCTTTCAATTTATGCATTCTACAATAAAAAAACACAAACAACAGTCTTGAACCATCAGGATCGTAGTCGTTGTAGCACCTTATAACAAAAGAGCAACATACAAATCTACAGTGCAGTCTGTGAATAATGGGACGGATTTTTGCTGTTTTAGTAAATGATGGGTGTTAGTTTAAATAAAGGGTGGTATCTGACTTTTGCACAGTACTGTATATGGTTCAGGTAGTATAGCTACAAATGCACTCAAATTACAGCTGACAATTTACCTGCGCTAACACTGTCAGCTGTAATTTAAGTGTACTTATATCTATGCTAGATGAACCATATACATTACTGTGCAAAACTCAGAGACCACTCTTCATTTATTTAATTTCAGTTAAAACAAATAATGATAATTTATTTTTTAGGAGACATTTCTGAGGAGATATGAGATAATCCACTTACATAAGGAAGGCGGAAAGTTTTCCAATCTGGAGTTCAAAAATTAAAACACATGGAGAAAATGGGAACCCTAACAACCAGGTGTTGTATATTTTTCCTTTTCAAGACCACCAAAACCATCATCATCATCACATAAACAGTATTTAAAGCTTTCATCTTTGACAGATGAAAATCAAGAAAACCTTAAGAGAAAATTAAACTCTCTTTTTCCAGATGTGAAAAAACAGATGTTTCCGTTCATTATTCCACTGTAAGAGGACAACGCTAAGTAGCTGTCAAGAAGCCAAAAATACATTTAAAAACAGAAAGACAGAAAACTCAGATGGAGTGGCATAAGACTTTATGAACTGATAGGTCTAAATTTGCATTTGGGATTATTGGATCGTGTGCAGCCAACTTCTAAGACTGAATTTCTGGTGGAAAAATATCCCTGCAGAGCTCTTTGATAAACTGGTCTCTAATAAGAATGGAAGATGAAATAAAGACAAAGGGGAAAAACAATCAAACTCCATACAGAAAGGATCCAGGCCAAGGAATTAAACCCTGGCTAGAGTAAGACTCTTGAGAAAGAATTATTTAAAGCGTATTGTGAAAAATGTCTAGGAATAAGTAAAATAATCTTAATGTTATTACAACAATCTCTTATTGATAAATTAGTTTTGACTAGATGTTTTTTTTTCACCAGACATCATTTTTTGCTGTGTATACAGTGATAGAAAACACAGTAGCACCCATAAACCTTCAATTCCACATGCTGATCCATTTTACTGCCCTGAATCGGGACATTCATGTGGCCTAGCTACTCTGGGAGGAGATTTTAAAGAGTAAAAATGGACCATTCATAATCTCTGAATGATGATTAGGGCTAATATGTTTGATCACAACATTGTTGAATGTAACAGTTCACTCACTTTTTTTAATGTTGCCAAGGGCGTCACCATAGTAGATTATGTAGCCTTGCAGGAAACCACACAAGTCCTCCTCAGCCACCGGGCTCCATGTAAGCACAAAGGAACTCTGGGTGACATTAGAGACACTCACATTCCCAGGAGCAGTGAGTGGTACTAAAAAATGAAATGAAATATATTAGTGGGTTATGATATATTCCAAGTGTATGTTACTTACATTACACAGTCATGTGTACATGTTTATTGCACTCTAACCAATGTGTGCACAAGTGAGCTCTATTTGTTTATGGCATATTTAAAACAGAACTGACTTCCTTCTAAGAGGTAGGCATGGGCTCTTCCATAGGTCTGCTCACTGTCGTTGATGTTCTTCAGGTTGCATGTGTCTTTATCTGGCCTGGCATGCAGGAAGAAGTGGTATCTCTTATAGGGCTGAAATGTGACTACAAAATCACACAAAAGAAAAAAAAAATTCTTCAACTGTGGAGCACTGCATATATACCCTTAACAGGTACTACACAGGCACTGGGCCATTTAGAGTAACAAGTAAAAGTACTTATAGCCTATATTAAATGATGCTTTGAGCCAGTTTCTTGTTTTCGTTAAGATCTGTTGCTGCTGCATTTTGTAAAAGTTGTACGGTATGTACTGATGTGTTAGGCAGCCCACTAAAAAGAGCAGTACATAATTTGTATAGTTGATTACTGTTTACATTCAATCATGGGACTTCATTAGAAAACATTAGCCATGAACATAGTTTGGAGTGTAAATGGGACTGAATTGAATATGTGAAAAAACTGGATTCTAGACTTCATGAAGTAACTATACTCGAATCTGACAAAAAAGTGATATTTGTCTGTCTGTCATGTGTTTCACAAAATCTGCAAGTATTGCATCCAAGAAGCAGCCCCCTCCCAACCCCCCGAGTACCAAACTGTATGCAAAAGCAGTACAACAATTTTAAGGTTATACACTCTACACAGAGAAGAGTGTAGAGGGGAAAAGGAGTGTCATGCCTTGAAAGTTGAAAGTTTTGGTAATTACTGGTATAGACAGTGAAACATAAAATAAGGATTTCTGTATTTACATTTATTTCAAAAAGCATGTGTTCTTTTGGAATTGTGGAATCTGTTCTGGTGTTTGACAAGTGTTTGAAATAAAACACAATTACAATCACTTGGGTTTCACAGCGGTTTAAAATACGCTACAAAAAACAAATCCTGTCCAAATTCTTTTTAGACCACACAAAGACTTGTTCAGTCTTAGTGTTTTAAATATTTCTCTTCATAGTTGAGTATTAAAGTGATAGATTGTACAGCTAATCCTAAAATACCTCCAGTACTGTGCAAAAGTCAGAGACCAGGAGATTAGATTTTACATAAGTAAGTTCCATAAGTAAGGAGAAAGTCAAAGAAAACTAAGTTAAAGAAAAACATTTATTTTCCCCAACTAGAGTTAAAAAAAAATGCAGTAGCATCATATAGCACACAACTTTACATATTAACGTCACATGCACAGGTTCAAAAAGAAGGTCTGGCTTGAAGTTTAGGTCTTAAATGCAAAATCAACATTATACTGAAGAGGATATGATGACAATAGTAGATAATTCCCTTACATCCTCGAAGACACATTTTGATGAGTTAATCATCAGATTTATTCCAGTCATCAGATTCAATCCAAACACCAACACAATAACACAACCAATATTGTGTTCTTATGCAAGTTGCATGCAATTACATATTTCCACCAGAGAGTTCTCCAAATTTCTAAATCTTACATAATCTTAGAAGCTTTAAGTTTGGGCACATACAACATCATCTGGAGATGGTGATCTTGATTGAAGGCATCATGAATGCTCGTAGGTACAGGCAAATTTTAATAAGTCTTATTATATTCTCTGGAAGATTCGTTTTACAGCCACAACCCTAAGCACCCTGATGAGATGGCCAAAACGTGCCTTTCAGTCAAAAGAAGCTGCTCAGAACAACAGATTGGCCACTCCCAAATGTTCCTAAGCATCACTGAAAGTGTTTGTGGTTACATTGATTGTGAGAAGTAGAAAATGCAACCAACTTCTAAGACTGAACTTTGGATATGTTTTTTTTTTCCTGTTGCTGAAAATCAACATGTACTTTGGCATTTTCAAAAAATTAAAGCCTGGTCTCTGATTTTTGCACAGTATTGTATATTAGATGAAAAGGAAGATTAAAAGAAAAGTGAGGTACCATTCTTAGTTTTGATGTCATGGTAGGGTTTCTTCACAAAGAAGGACTCGTAACTTATTTTCTCTCCACTCCCCCACCATTCTACAGAATAGCAGGCATACTCCCGGGACAACTTTTTATTCCATGAAAGACGGAAGCTGTTATTGCTTTTCACATTAACATTAAATGTTTCATCCAAAGCTGCAGAGACCAAACATAACCTGTTAGACTGATATAAAATGTCATGGCACTTTAATATAGATGAGTGATATGGCAAAAAATCAATACACTTGAAGACATATTATGTATCATGATATTTAGCTTTTCTGATATTTGTAAACAAATTATAATGGACAAAATGCAACAGTAAAACAGTAGTGTCACATTCAAAAAAAGCCAGTCAGTATGTTTTAAAACTTGCAGCAGTTTAGTGTTCTTGAAGCATATTGTGACATATGTACCATGATTGCCAGTCGAGTTAACTATTACTGCTATCTGGCTAGCTTTGATTTTTAGTTATACCGATTACACTACACAACCATTGAACTGTCATATTTAATGAGCAGTTGAATTGCTTTAGAATCATAGAGTTCTGCACCAGTGGTTCCTAAAATGTCATTTGAAAGTTATATTGTAATAATAAATTAAAAAAAAAAAAACAAACACACACATTTACATTACCACATCTTCACTGAACCAAATTTACACTGTCAAGGTCAGTGATCAGGGACACCTCCCACCCCACTCACAGCTCAATCTACTACTATCCGGGAGATGATACAGGAACATGCATGCCAGAATCAGCAGACAGGCCAGCTACTTATCAGCAGTCATCATTTTCTTGACTTTTGACATTCGACTATACTATTATACAGGGTGATTCAAAAAGATTCAGCTGATTTCAAAATGATTTATGTCACTTGTAAATCATTACAGAACAATGCAGTAAATTGTAAATGGTTTAAGTTAGCATAAAGTTTATTATGTAATTTTACAAGCGCTCAATATGACCTCCTCCAGCTGAATGGACAACATCAACACGATAGTCATCCTATACTCGATTGAGCAGGTCTGGTGTCACTGCACTCATGGCTCTTTCAGTGCGATTTCGGAGATCATCCAGTGTTGTGGAACCAACGATGAATGCTCTGAGCTGTTGAAGGTTCACTGCCGATGAAAATCACGTTGCACAGTTATGACGGATTCACTCTTATTGAAGTGGAGAACGCAAACCGTTTTCTGCTCAGGGGTCGCCATCTCCTCGCAGACTGAAGGGAGCCATCTTCCGGTGATAGTCAGAAACTCTATTACCCCCTCTTTCAATTGGTATGTAATTGGTTCCTAGGCACCTCACGGTTGTAAAAATATAGCGCTTTGAAATCGGATTAATCTTTTTGAATCACCCTGTATTTTCATATACATGCACATATTTCTATCTATCTGCCTATAAAACTGAAGGAGTAAGAAAAGGATTTCTGAAGGCCCGGGCCTGCATTAGGGCACTGTTTCCCCACCCTGGTCATGAAGTACTTTGTGCTCTGCACACTTTCTTGTGCCATGTTCTTGTTTCTTGTTAGGAGCAAGTGACCTAAAACAATCAGTGCAAACTCATGCTGCAGAATTCTCAAACAAATGAAAAAGAAAAATAGGAATTGCAGGCACCTTTTGCACTTGATAACATCAGTCTACCATATTAAAAACACTTGACAGGAGTGGTTAAAAAAAACTGTTGTTCATCTGAATTAAAGAACATCTGGATGTTTGGAGCAAAAACTCAGTTAACTGACACCAAAAAACTGGTAGAACATACAATGGAGGAAGTTTAATTGTGTGCAGCTTCCTCAAAGCATGAATGCCTTGTATTAAGAGACCAATGAAAAACTGCACCCCAAGACAGAAGTACATTGGCAGAGTGGCTCAAACAGAAGAACGTCCATGTCTTTGGTTTAAGGTTTCTGGCTTTCCTATTCATGCAATATTTATTGCATATACATATTATGTATATTTTAACAATATACATAATCACCTGAAACCATTTTTTATAGAAGCTAACTCAGCAGTTTGAACAAACTGACAGAGGCTACTGCCAATAAAGGAGACTCCACTAGTTATTAGTTCAGATAACTTTTCCATCAATGAATAGAATTCCGAACCACTGGCCAACTGTGCTTGCACACAGAGGAATTAAACCTCTGCATTAAACCCATACATGCAGTGAAACACCCACATACATGCTCACTAGTGAACACACACATTAGGGGGTAGTAAGTACACCTGCCCAGAGCGGTGAGCAGCCCTATTCACGGTGCCCAGGGAGCAGTGGGGGTTAGGTGCCTTGCTCAAGGGCACTTCAGTCATGTCCTGTTGGCTCAGGTAAGAAGTATGTCTTGTTGGCTCAGGGGATCAAACCGGTGACCATCTGGTCACAAGGCTGGTTACCTAACTTCCAGCCCACAACTGCCCATGACCTTCTATGTTTAAACAGTTTGTTCAATATAGAACCCCGAAAAAATGCAAAATGTAAATAAAAACAAAATGTAATGATGTGCAAATCATTTAAACCCTATATTTCATTGAAAACAGTACAAAGACAACAAATCAAATGTTTTTATTCGATGTTTTTATTTTCTTTGAAAAATATATTCCCATTTTGAATTTGATGATAACAACACATTCCAAAAAGCTGGGACGGGAGCAACAAAAGGCTGGTAAAGTTGTGTAATGCTAAAAAAACACCTGGTGGTTGAGGATCCCAGAGAGGCTGAGTCTTTCAGAAGTAAAGATGAGGAGTTCACCACTTTGAGAAAGACTGCGCGAGCAAATAGTGCAACAAATCAAGAATAATGTTTCTCAATGTAAAACAGCAAACAACTTTTGTTTTTCATCATCTACAGAACATAATAACATTAAATGACTCAGAGAATCTGGAAAAATTTCTGTATACAAGGAACAAGGGCAAAAAACAGTATTTGCTGGCCGTGATCTCTGGCCCTTCAGGCGGCACAGCATTAAAAACAATGATTCTGTAGTGGAAATCACTGCTTGGGCTCACTTTTGAAAATCACTGTCTGTGAAAACAGTTTGTTGCTGCATCCACAAATGCAAGTTAAAGAAATCATATATCAACAGGATCCAGGAATGCTGCCACCTTCTCTGGGCCTGAGCTCATTTAAAATGGAGGGGAAGTGGAGAAGTGTCCTGTGGTCCAACAAATCAACATTTGAATTTCTTTTTGGAAATCATGGACACTGTGTCCCCTGGGATAAAGACCACTCGGCTTGTTATCAGTGCACAGTTCAAAAGCCAGTATTCATGATGGTATAGGGGTGCATTAGTGCACATGGAAAGGGTGACATGCACATCTGTGAAGGCAACATTAATGCTGAACGATATATACATGTTTTGGCAACTTATGCTGCCAACCAGACGTCTTTTTCAGGGAAGGCCTTGCTTATTTTAACAAGACGATGTCAAACCACATTCTGCATCTATTACAACAGCATTGCTCCGTATTAAAAGAGTCCGGGTTCTAAACTGCACTGCCTTTAGTCCAGATCTGTCCCCCACTTTAACATCTGCCGCATTATGAAATGAAAAATACTATAGGTGGTGATGAAACACAGTGGTAAACATGCCTCTGTCCCAGCGTTTTTGGAACGTGTTGTTGGCATCAAATTCAAAATGGGCATATATTAAAAAAAATAATAAAAATTTCAGTTTCAACAATTGATTTATTGTCTTTGTAGTATTTCCCTTTAAAAATACTTAAAATATGGTTTACATGATTTGCACATCATTGCATCTTATTTTTATTTACATTCTACACAGCGTCCTAACTTTTTTGGAAATGGGGTTGTATATATGGTACTGCAAAATACAGTATGTTGTTTAAAATAATATGTTTAGTCTGTGACTTTACGCTTAGTTTTATTCTGTTGAATTACTTTTTGGTGTTTTTCTCTTATATTATGCAATGCCCAGAAAGTTCAGAACGTTAAAGGTAACACAGATAGGCTCATTAGCAGTACACAAGTAACGTAGGTTAAGAAGCAGAATAATGAAAATAATTATAATAAGAGATATGGGTCCAAAGAATATCTCTCCAAGTAGTTCTCTGCTCTCTCCTTGCCAGGCTCAGAGTTCCTACATTTTTATCTTTGATCAGATTACTAAACCACAGCCATAAACAATACAACCATCAGATATCAGTAGCAGAATTCACCAACTGGCTTTTTGACCTACAACTTAGGTGAAGATGAGTTCAGATTTTAGGAACCTTTCATACAGAAATCCAGATCATTCCGAAGGGTTTGCACTTTTTCTCACAATAGCCTTAACAGACATAATGTACCCAAAACATACCGCCAATAATGCTACTACGTTTTTGCAAACAATATATGAGGTAAAAGAGAATTATGACATACCACTTTGATTCTCTTTGGCTTCTATGAATCTATAGACAGGAGGAGACAATCCGGCTCTGTTGAAGGCATTGATGCTGATTATGTAGGCAGAATAGCACAGAATTAGTTTCATGGTAGGTGTTTTGAGGATGTAACTGCTCACTCCAGCAAGTTCACCAGATGCCTTCGAGATAGTTACATTATAATTTTCCACAGCCTCACTGTGCACATACTGAAAACAGGACACAAGCATGAAAAACACAATTAGCAGAGTCTGAAATAAGCAGCACTGCACTGTCCTAGGCAATAGCAGTATGCATTTTGCACCAACTAGTCGAAATAAGCAAATGATTTAGAAATTTCTACACTTGCAACTGGCTGCACAGCTTTTTTGAGTTATGTCAAGTTGAGGTCACTGGAGTTTCTAAACTAACTTTTATTTAAACGTTCCCCTAAATGCACATTTTTAGTATTGCATAGTATTTGTCACCCAATTTTCTTCTAGATTTTGTCTAATTCATTAGCTTGTTCCTTCCATCACATTATGCTACCAAGCAGGCAAGGTGAAGGCTAGTACATGCTTCCTCCAAGACACGGAAAGCTGCTGCTAGCACAATGTTATTCGACAGCTTAGCATTTTTTGGAGGAGAATGCTAACTGCCAATTCTGTTGCATCAGCTAACAAGCATATCCTGAACAAAATGGCTTGAAAATAAAGAACGGAGTGCTTCTGAATCGCTGAATCATGTAGCACTACATTAGTAAACGTCCTGAAATATCATATGGACACACATAGTTGAAGTGGTTCTATGAGGAGGAGATTAATATGCCTCCAGGTTGATGGAAGTTCCAAAATGTAAAAAAAATAAAAAAAATAAAAATTAAAAATTGTTTCTGTAGACACCAGACATTAAAGCCAGGGTTTGAATTTCTGACACTTTGAAATTATATTTGATTTTTGTTACGTAAACTGGGGTGTCCTATGCAAGCAAAGGCTGAAGACTGTGGACAAAAAGGTGAAAATAGTTCAACTGTACCTGCCACTCCATGATGACTATTCTCTGTCCAGTTTTGAAAGGCTTCTCATTAATTTCTTTTATGGTTGGTGCATCTACAAATTCTGGTGAGAAAACAGCACAGAAGTAAAGCCACATTTTTAAAAATAAAGCTTCCTCAATGATTTTGGGCTTGGATATGGTTGTAACCTTTAACTGGAATTGAAACTTTCCATTATGTGGAGGTTATTTAAGGCTCTTTACGCTCACACATCTCATTTACAAAATCCATTGAAAGGTTCTTCAGGGATTCAAAATGCTTCATCTGTAGCAGTAGTTTTTGAATTAGTCCTCATTCCATTTCACAAGGCTAGAGTTTTTGATCTGTCTCAGCTCCCAGCCCATCTGAAGCAAGCTATTAAGAACAATATCTGGTTTGCATGTGTTGGGAGCTGGAGGGGCATAGGGAGTGGTCTGAAAACCACTCTACTGTAAAATAATAAAAAGTTGGGCCAACTTAATTTTAAGGCCATTTAATTCATAGTCTTTTTGAGTTAACTGAACGTATTCCAATTCCCTGGTTGAGTTAACTGTGACGTGAACTGCCTTAAAAGTTGACATAATGTTTTTTCCAGTGTGCTACAGAATAAACATTTTTGGGTCCTTAAATAACCAATCATTGGATGTTTTTTGTAAAAGTGATGTGTATTTGTGATGAACCTTTTGGTAAGAACTTCCACATAATGGATAGGCTCCTACAGTACTTCAAGTTTGGAGTAATGTTATGATATTGCTCCATGAACCCTTTTTGGCAACTATATTTTTGAGTGTGCTCACTATCAATCTATTGCATTTCACATGAAGCAATCAGACAGTATTCTTGCTTGTATATTTAATCTAGTCCTGAACTACATTTTCCTTTTAATAAAGAATTTACATTAAGAATGCAGTGTAATCCAGGATGAAGCTATTAGTTAAACATGTACAGTGTAGTGTGTAATTTTAGAGTGATTATGACTGAGTTCACCTTGTGGGACGCTAATGACCTCACTCAAGGGACACTGTGGACACTCTGTTGTGACAACACATTGTATGTGCATCTCATAAGACATATATGAGGTAAGATTCCCCACGATGCAGTCTCTGGTGTTCTGGGACTGCACCTACAGCATGGGGAAGTAGGATAAAGCATTCAAACATAGAGTGAAATCAGAATCAGAAAAAAAACAATTCATTCCATTGGCTTCCTGACACATTTAATAATTCCTGTTTTTGTATTTAGAAGCTGCAGAGCTGATGCAAGAGCAGGTTTCCCTGTATATGGTGATGTTTTCATTACTAGCTTAGACCCCCCACCACACCCCTTGAAAAAAAATTCTCAAAACATCCTGTCTTTCTAAACTAAAAAAACTAAAATAACTATACATATTATATGAGATAATTTCATACGCAAAAGACAGATGTTTACCTGTTTCCACAATGTGCTGTTTTGTTCCCTGTACTTCACATAATACTGCTTTACACTCTTATCTCCCCACTCAGCTGTAACACTCAAATAGCCTTGGTTTCGCTTGAATCTTACGTTATTCTCATTAGGTGGGTCACAACGTACTGAAATACAAGAAAAAGATTCAAAGGATTATATTTAAAGGAACACTTAACAAAATGCACAAAAATGATATTAGCTTTCTTGTGTATTGTCCTGGAAATAATAGTAATAATAATAATAATAATAATAATAATAATAATTTACTCATTTGTGAGGGAAATCCAGTGAATTTTGCGATAGTGCATCTCTTCCGATCTTCACTCACAGCAATGGCATATGCAGTCATATTTAGCTTTGTTAGAGCAAAAGACTTTGATATCATGGATTGGTTTTCCATTTCCCTTTGTTTACATGATCTCCTGCATGAAAAAAAAAATGACACAGTTAATTGCCTAGCACTCTGAGTATTCTTCTTAAATGGTTCTTGACTTTACATTCTAGGAAACATCTTTAATTGATATAGAACCTCTATATTATTTGGAGCTTCTTTAAACTTTACCTCTTCAAACGTGTACTCATTTATAAAAAAAAGTCCTTTAACGAACCATCCATTAAAAGGTTTATAAGGAACCAAAGGATGGTTCTTCTAGGACTAGACTAAAAATCTAAGCTATTTTCATACATATATGTGGCTTAAGAATCGTTTTTAGACATGAAAATGGAAATGTAAACATGTTGCACTACCAATAACAACTTACTGTTGTGTGTAGAGTTTATATGTGCTGTATGGCTTAAGATTCCATATACATTTGTAATCAACTATGTCTGGTGCAATTCGCTGTCCAAAGCAAATAAAATCATGGATCTCTGAAAAAGACAATAATCAATCAGAAAAAAACAGGGTAAAAAATTTTGCTCTTCAGAAATGCAGACTGATTTGTAAATATGTTTAACATTTCAGTGATTGCCAAACTTAAATTCTAGGTCAGTATTACAGAAGGGAATGTGTCAAAAAGTAGGTTCAACATAGGGTCCTTCACTAAGTTTCAGCTTCCCAAAACCTAACAAAAGCAATATCAGTTAACTAATTTTACAATGGGTGTTAACAACTTTCTCTGTTAACACTGACACTGTGTAAACAGTTGTGCTTTTGCTGTTCTAATCCCTTTATATTCTTCATATTTATGTAGAACTTTCTGAAATGTGTTTTGTCTTACATGCTTGGCCGTTCACTTCAAACATCACAAAGGGTTTGTTGAGTGATCACTGTGCCATTCATCTTTTAGTGTCTTGATTTTATGTGCATCATAAAACAAATGGGCAACTAATGACTTGAAGCAAAAAAAAAACTGTTTGCGAACTGTTATCCTGAAGCAGGTTGGGTGTTCAGCATAAGCTGCCATGGCAATATAAAAAGTGATCTACTGTAACATAGTCAATTTAGCTGACTAAGCAATAAATCCTACTTTATGAGACAGGCCCTGGTTTAACCTGCCTTGGTTAAGGGAAGCTCTTGCTTTATTTCTGAAATTGGTGATATTGTGTGACCTTGTGATGACCACAACAAACGCTCAAACTGAAATTGCTGATTCTAACAAGTTAGCATTCCTGTGAAGACATCAAATGGAATTTTGACCAGCAGTAAACAACTTTGGCAATGGCTGAAAAATGAGTGTGCCTCTTACTTTCAAACTTCTAATGAAGCCAAAGGAATATGTGGAAGGAAGACATTTTTAGTTTTAAAGAAATGGAAGTGCCATCACATTACCTTCAGTGGCATTACAGGACTGTTCACAAATGGTCAGATTCTTGCATGTACACACTAGAAAATAACAAGGCAAGTTAACTGCAAAGCCATTTTGAGGGTAAATCTCCAATGCATCAAATGAAAATGTCATGACACATTCATGAAAAACATCAATAAAGTCTGGAGTAAAAGTTATATAGCTTAAATGAACATTTACTACAGCCCCATTTCCAAAAAGGTTAGGACACTGTGAAAATTCTAAATAAAACAAAACAAAATGATTTGCAAATTATTTAAACCCTATATTTCATTGAAAATAGTACAAAGACAACATATTAAATGTTGAAACTTTGAAATTGTTTTGTTTTTGTATATGCCCATTTTAAATTTGATGCCAGCAACACGTTTCAAAAACACTGGGACGTGCTACAAAAGACTAGTAAAGTTGTGTAATGCTAAAAACCACCTGGTGGTTCATTGGCAACAGGTCAGTAACATGATTCAGTATAAAAAGAGCAGTGGTGGACAGTAACAAAGTAAATGTAATTCGTTACTGTACTTAAGTAGTTTTTTGTGTATCAGTACTTTACTGAAGAATACAATTCAATTCAAGAATAACGTTTCTCAATGTAAAATAGCAAAGAACTTTTTCTTTTCATCATCTACGGTACACAATAACATTAAAAGATGTAGAGAATCTGGAGAAATCTCTGTAGGCAAGGGACAAGGCCAAAAACCAGTATTTGCTGGCCGTGATCTTTGGGCCCTCAGGCGGCACTGCATTAAAAAGACATGATTCTGTAGTGGAAATCACTGCATGGGCTCAGGAGCACTTCTGAAAACCACCTGTCGGCAGTCCAGACCTGTCACTCATTGATAACATTTGGCGCATTATGAAATTAAAAATGTGACAAGAGAGACCTGGAACTGTTCAGCAGCTGAAATCCTGTATCAAACAAGAATGGGAAAACATTTCACTTTCAAAACTACACGCAATTGGTCTCCTCAGTTCCCAAATGCTTACAGAGTGTTGTTAAAAGAAGAGGTGATGCAACACGAGTGATTTGTACAGTGTTCCAACTTTTTTTGGGGAATGTGGTTGTAGTTTCACCAGCCTTTCTGGCTTGTGTGTGACTGTACTAATTAACACCTATAACAAGGTACCATAAGTTCCTATGAACAATTATGAAACAGGGGTGTTTGTGTCACAATATACAGAACATTATTATTTCACAAATTTTTTACCATGAAATATTAGCTGGAGTAGATCATGCTTTGAAGATTTGAAAAGCGCACAGTCAACCATGATTGTTTAGTGGAGAAAAAAGCATGTAAGAGGCATGTAAAACAAATACAGAGTACTGTGCAAAAATCAGAGACTACCCCTTCATTAATTCTATTTCTAGTCAAAACGGCTACCATAATGAAAGTTATTAATTTTTTTCATTGTCAGGAAAAAAAAACACATATACTGTATTTAAAAGACAATGACACAGAAACTTCAATGACAGTTTTTCAAAGTTCATTGGTGAATGTCATTGTTTCTTTGAAAGGTAACAACTTCAAAAAAAACTTTTGTTGGGAGGACATAGCTGTAACCTCCTGCAAAAAAAAGCGCATGCAAGTACATCAATAGTATACTTGAAGTGTCTAGAGAATTTTTTATTTCATGTATTTTATGAAAACATACCTAAAATATACTTTTCTGTATTTTTGGAAAAGTATACTTTTAAACTAATACAATTTAAATTATTATGCTGTAACAAAGCACATTTAAATAGACAAATTTCCTAACATGCTAAAGCACACTTAAAAAAAGGTATATTTAGATGCCATCAAATTAAGTATATTACTTAGAAGCGTATTTTAAACTGGTGACCTTAAAATATGTTTAGTACAATTCAGTTGCAATATTACTCAAACTAACTGGTGCCAAATATGGGTATCGCTACACTCGAGAATATACATCAAGTGAAGTAGAATGTGTCTTAACAATTGCTGAAGTTAAATTCATTGTAACAAGTTATTCCAATTTAGAACAGAAAAGCATTTGGAGGCATCAAATATTTATTTCAGCATGACTTAAACATAATTCAAGTATATAGTTATTCCTAATAATATACCAAGCATATACTTATTTATGTTTTATAAACATTTAAACACTTAAATAATTTTTTGTGCATTTATGTTGCAGTATATAATAAGAAGCAGTCCAATATAATGCATTTATTGTATTATTGTATGCATTAAAATGTTTAAACTGTAATCATTAAAAGTTTTTAAAACTTTTATATTACATACATTTTCTTTCACAAGGGACACATCACTGACTATGGGACATTAGCTTTCAGGATTTGGTGATATTTAGTAGAAACCACTGGCTACCACTCAACGCAGCATAACCGATCCATGTTTAACCACTGGTGTTCTTTTCTTGAAATGCTTCTTCTCTTTTTTTTCCAAGTATACTTTTGTACCCTAAGGGTTACATTTTTGGATCATGAGACCACATAACTTGATTTCAAGATGCCTTTGCACTTAAGATGTTGTCTTTTGTGATGAGATCACAGTTAAGGTTTGCTTTTGCTAACCCCTGTAGATGATGTTTGTATAGTCTTTTCTTGCTTTATAGGAGTCAATTATCCTCACTTTTAGATACAGATTTCAGACAGCTGCTTGATGATTCCATGGCATTTCTTGATCAATTTTTTTTAACAGAAATCTTGAGAGATTTCACAGAATTGATTAAGCTCTTGAGTTGTCCATACCTGATTTGGATTAAGACCTAATGAGTCACATAAGCTCTGTGACCATAAAGAAAAATGACAGTAGTGGAGCAACTGCCAAACTTTTGCACATCTTTTCACAGAGAAAACATCGACATAATGTGTAATTTGACTTTCGAAGACAACTGTAGATTTTATATTATACTGAAGTATTAGAGGCTCTTGTGTAATTTTATGTTAAATCTGCATTCCCTGTTTTTTTCCTGACACCATAAAATGAGTAACTTGTGCTTAATGGCTGTTTTAAATACAAGCTGAATAAACAAATGGGTGGGTTCTGATTTTTGCACAGTCCTGTATATCAAATTATTTATTTGTACTCCTCCCAAACACCAAAAATCTAATTAGAAACAAATATATTTGCTAAATACCCACAAGAGGTACTAAGTCAACACATAGTAAATTTCTTCATTATGATGCTTTTTAGAAACTGGAGGCTTATTTGCTTCTTAAAAATGTGAAAACCACTTCTGAGCTATTGAGATATTGTAATGTAAGTTGTATTGCACAATGTATGATGTATGTTGCACAATGTAGTTTTTTTTTTTCAAAACTATGACTTGATAAACAATTCAACATTCAAATCTTTGATACTTTCAATTTCTTTAGATAAGCTAAAACTATGCTAATGTTGTATTCTGTGTATAGACAAATAAACACTGCCTATAGACGCCTAGTTTATTTCACAATTAGCACATCTGAAACACACAGTTGAAGAGTTTCATTCAGTAACATATAAGATTTTCTATTTAGATAATGTTGAATAAGATCATGTTTAACTGATTTGGTTACTTATTTAATTTGACAATTGAAGAATTTTGTGTTCATAAGAAAAACTTTTTTGATCATCATAAACAATAATAACATTATGTCTAATATACTGCATATTTAATTCAGGTGATTTTTTACATTTAATCCAGCAAACATTGGGTATTCAAAATGTTTTTCATTTTTGCCATGGTATTATTTTACCATTGTGACACTACACTTGGTATTGGTGTAAATCTTTATTTTATTGATAACTTATATGTAACTAGTTCTGTGGTAATTTTGTCACCAGAACTGCAGAAAACATTTATGATTTCTGATTACAGACACAAATGAGATTAATGCATCAAATGCCAGTGGATTAATATTTTTTTACCACTTTTGACAATTTGTGCAATACTGTTTTTCTCTTTGTAAGAAACTAAATAAAAAAACTGATAAAACTCCTTCTGCTCAAACTAAATGACTCACAGCTACAAAAAAACTACCCCCAAAAAGACAAGGAGAATACTGTGATAAAAACTTTACACCCTGATATCACAGTCCTAAGCAGTGATGTAAATATGGACAAAAACAAAGTGTTTCCTATTGTCACTGCATCTGTAACTGCCAACAGAAGTGCATGTGTCCATCTTCTTCTTAAAATGCAGTCTGCACACTGCACTTACACACTGTTCTAATATGATCCCCGATCAAACATGGAAACTGATACCACGACCGCACATGAGCAAAATGACCAAAAAAAATCTACCCAAAATAGAATAAGGAAACTTCATACACAATGACACAGTGAGGCCAATCATAAAAGCACTACAAAGCCTGCAGAACTGAAAGATAGTGATATGCTAAAAAGTGGGTTTATTGTAATAAATAAATAAATAAATAAATAAAAGCTGACTGTCAGATTAATAGTGAAACTTACATGACTAACATCAGCAGTTTGCAATAAGATTCATTCATCAAAGCAAGACCCTTCCAGAATCACTGTCTTACATTACATATTCTATACATTTGAAATGAATTCACATATTATAGGAATGTAACACAATCACTAGCATTGCTGGAAATTTGTAAAACAAATGAACAAAATATAGCAGATTCTCCACAACTGTGTTACATTTATTCAAAATAATTATTGCATGAGATTGTGTCTGTACTATGAGCCTTTGTTTATACATGTTGTATATGTATATTTTAATGCTGCTGTTTGACTGCTCTATTTTTATATGTGATACATTGAGAATGAGGCTCTCTGGCTTGTCTGTATAAATAGAGAGTATGCAGCTGATTATATCAACTGTTTAACTCTTTAAATGCTTTGGTGCCACCAGCTGGTCCAGCTTTTATAACCTATAAATAAGTCAGTCAGCTTGCATTGCTTTCTATGTAGTTGCTGAATAATACACCTCAGTAATTCAAGCATCTAAACAGAATTTCTATATTATTTCTACATTTTCAAAATAGTTCATTCAAGCAGCAAAAACAACACTTTCTTTATAAAAAATAAACAAGGTAAATGCTTTGATAGCTTAATTACATGGAAGTACATATTTCTCCATCAGAAACTGACTAAAACATTTGCTACCATGAACAAACTTATCAAGCCCTGTATGACTTCTCACTGATAAGCTATGTGACTCCTTCCATTACTTCCTTTAAAAATAAAATCTTTCTTGTCTACCGCATTTTTACGTTCTCAGCCCCCTCATCTTCAGAATGTACTTGCTTCCCCTGTCATGGCTTCGATTTTCATTGCAATGCTGATGACACACAGAGCTATTTGAGTGTCGGTTCCACCACAGCACTTCATTAGCAGCCTGTATGTGTCAGATAAAGCACTGGATAATGAAATTCTGCAAAAATCGCCACTAATAATTCAGATATGTGCACCAATATTGATGGAGTTTTTGTCAAACTCTCTCAAACTGTTTGTAGCCTACTGCTGTCTTCAAATCACAAGTCAGTTCTCTTATCAAGTTCACATATTTTATTTTCCGCAACACTGCATGAACCCATCCCCTGCTGCGAAGACTCTCCTCTATGAATGAAAGTTAACTCTCTGCTTTCTGTTGTTGATTAATTAAGCTGATGTGGTTAGTACCCCTGCTTATGCATGGTGTGTAGAGGTGGTACTGTTTTTTTCACTCTGATTATCATGTTTGTTTTCATTTTGCTCCATCATGTACTCTACTTGTCGAATGATACAGTAAAGTGACACTGAGTTTGAGAATGTTGCTATATAAATTATATATTATATTATATTATATTATATTATATTATTATATGTGATAATATTATTATTATTTTACTCCCCTATAGATTATCTGCAAATGCTCACATAAAAAAACATATCTATTATCAACATTGTTGATTGTTGGGGTTAGGGTTAGGGTGAGCTTTGTGTTCAGAGTTGAAATGAAGGTTTAAGTGTTAGAGATTTTTTCTGAGTTAAAGTGAATGTTGTGAAAAAACAGCACAATGAATTCCATGCTGGTCTAGCTAGCAACTAGTTTTTGCTGATCTGGTGCTGGTTAATCGGCATACCAGGATCCAAAACACATCATATTCAGGCTTTGGTGGTGATCATTTGGTGGTGAGCAGCTTACATTGCTGCTCCCCAGCATACCAGCATCTAAAACACAACATAATGCTGGTTTTGTTGTTGACCAGCTATACTAATCTATGTTGATTTTTCTAATAAAGTAGGTTTAAGGTTGAAGTTAATGTCTATCTGTAAATACATCTCCCATAACAAATTTATTATAACCAATAAGAACACCTAGCATAATTAGTAAATGCTATGCAACACAAGTGAAGCGTCGACAATGTGAAATCATACATACTATTTTGTTTACGCAGTTTCAAAAGATTTTTTTCTTTACGCATACCTTTAAATAAAATGTTACATCCTTTCTAGTTTTGATCACACATTTACATGCAAGTTTTGACATGTGACACTTACACGATGTTTCCACTACATTTAGCCCCACTTTCAGTAACCCGAAAACCCAAGTTTGACCTAGTAAGGCGGACTATGAAACGAAACATTAGTGTTTCGAAGAACACGTTTCGCCTCTGAGACCGTTTTAAAATTATTCTAATGGCGTTCCGCACGCGTGAAAGCACTGAGAAAAGTGTAGATTAGTATAACATGGTAAACAGTGCAGGGCAAAACAGCAGTAACCTTAAAATCTACTCTTGATGAAAAGGAGCCGTTAAACTGCAGCTTAATTTCATCCAACTAACCTGCTGAAGCTTTCTGAAGAGTCTGTGCTGACCAGATCCACCTGAGCAGAAACGCTGTAGAAAGCAGAAAAGAAGGACAGAAGCTGGCTCACATAATGAATTATTAAGTGAACAGTGTACTACATTGGTGGAAATGCATAATGCCGAGGTTTAACTGTCCTATAAAAATAATGCTGCGAGATGAACTTTAAAAAAGCTTAAAACGCACCGTAAGAAAGAGACAGCACGGCCGCGCGTGCACGCATGATGGCTGTCTTCGAGGAGGCGAAGGCTCCGCTCAGCTGTGTTAAACTCTACAGCGCTGGTGAATGAAGTTGGAGGGGCATTCCTTCACAACACGTCAACACATTCCGTTCCCACTGCTGGAGATTTTCAGTTTCGAGTGCGAGCGCACACACTCCTCACCTGCAAACTCAGTGTGTGGCAACGTTGCTTTAGAGCTCCTCCAACCCACACTAGCAAAGATGCTCACAAGCTACGTTCAGTCAAAGACACGCGACAGAAATGTAAGCCATGGTAATAAACATACAGATTTTAGCTCTGGCACTGGCAGAAAGCGCAAGCAAGCCAGTTTTTACACGCGTTTCACTTCCTCATGCCGAGAATAGCTTTCAGTTGTAGCTTTTACATTGTCCTGCTGCATTTACTGGAACGATCGCGGGTGAACCGGAGGATGTCAGTGCACGTTACATGATTCATTTGCTGTTGCTCAGAGAGGTTTGCTTTTGGTTACATTTCGTCTTGGACGTTATTGTGCAGGCCTACTCCAGCGACGCTTAAATACTATTTTAAGCTGTTAGCTTTTCATAAAGAGCTTTCATAAGTAGGCATACTGTTGATGCCAAAACTGATAAAAAATCCAGCCAACATGAAGCCAAACGGGTAAAACAGCGAAAGAATGCTTCATAAATTACTCTCAGGGACCGAAGAAATGAGACAGGGACATGGAGAAATGAATGTGTTCTTTCAAGAGACAAGTTTCATGACGTCACTGGCTTGCTTTCAAGGAACTTTTCAATTTGAGTTTTGTTCTTTCGGTTATTCGTTGTTTCATAGTTCACTTTGCAACAAGAACTACATCCGTTTATGCTGGATTGCTCAATATGTAACATGAATCGTTCACGTTGAGCAGGATTTTTGTTTTGCACCAAGACATGAGAGTCGAACTTTGCAAGATTCTTGGTGCACATTTGCGAGTGTTGAACATTATAATACTGACTTTTTGCCACAACTCAGTTTCAGTTGGGCTGGTGCTGATGCATGTGTTGTGTTCCTTTGGGGCTGAAACGCACGCTCTCTCTCTCTCTGTCTCTCTCTCTCTCTGTCTCACACACACACACACAGGAAGGAGAATTTTCACACTTCAGAGCTTAGGAGGCCCCAACTTAGAAAACACACCAACACTAACACTGTCCTTGGATCATGTGACACAGGCGTTTTGGAGACCCAAAACAGAGTACTTCACATGCACCTTTACAGACACATCGTCCTTGGCAGCTTTATCTTCTTCTTCACTTCAAAATTACATCAATTTCCTTTAAAGGAATGGTTCACTGAAAAATCAAATTTATAGTTTCCCCGTTTTTCCCAACAGTCGATCTGTCTTCCTTTGATTATTTAGCAATGGGGCTAATCTAACAGGAGCCTGTGTCATTTAGAAAGACTTTGGGTGACAGACTTCCATTACTTGTTTGCAACATCGTAGGTCCAGTAGAAAACCTCAAACAACAAGCGTTTTGGCCGCCTGACTACATTTATGGCATGAGCAAGTTGTCTACTCCAGCGGAGAACTATTCTTTTAAGACTTCTAAACACGTACGCAGTTTTCTTCACAGAAAACAGCAAAGGCGGTGTTCAGATAACTGTTCGTGAGAAAGTGTGGAAACCAACGAGCTGGAGGGAAGTAAGACGAGATCTAGGTAGCAAAGATAATGGCTAACTAGAGAAGAAGTGAGTCGACAGCTAAGATTCTTTGCACAGAACAGGAAAAAGGGACACTGAGAGGAAATTATTCATATATTCGAAAGGCCCTGTGAGTCGATGCACCACGCAGCCGTAAAATCCCCCACCCATGTGCTTATCAATGCACTGATCAGCGGCTAGTTTGTTTTTTTGACACCTGTCATACGGGGAGCGACAGTGCTGAGATCACAGAGTTAGATAACGAGTGTGTGGGGACTGCTGCGCTTTGATAGAATGTTTGATGTGTGTTTGACTGTTATCATGTTCTATTTTAAGTGAAAGACACTGAATCAGTATGATTTCAGAAAGATTGCAGAGTGCTGGGTATACAAAAGCACAGGAGGGGACAAATGTACAAGAATAATAGTCATTTTTTACTCATTGTAAATTTGAGCCTTATAATGCAATATGCTAACAGCAAAAGACAGATTCGCATGTAGCTAACCAGACATACGAACATGCAAGTGTTTTGCTTCACAACTAATGTTCATTTTAAATAAGGGTTGATGTCAGGAATCGTGATGTACACAACCATATATATTTATTTTCACTTTAGTTACACTGTGGGTGTTAGGAGCGTGATGTGACTTAACAGTGCTGCAGTAACTTTTTAGCGCCCTCAAGTGTCTGAAAGTCTTCAGTGACGTCTAAATTTCCTAACAGTGTTGTAGTGCACATTAAGATCATACAATAACCAAGTATCTCTCTCTCTCTCTCTCTCTCTCTCTCTTTCTCTCTCTCTCTCTCACGCGCGCGCGCGCGCGCGCACACACACACACACACACAGCTTGTATAATCTCCATTAAAAGCGCTGGCAACAGAATGGGATGCTCTGGAGCACACCAGTTAGGTCATCGTACCCAAAGCAAGCATCAGCTAAAGGGCTATGGACAGATGATCCACTGAATACCCTTGGGAATGGTAGAAGTGCTGTTTGTGACCAGAGCTAATCATCTTACATCAGTACCTGACCTCACTAATGTATTTGATGCTGAATGCAATAAAATCCTCACAGAAATGTTCCAACATCTAAAGCCTTCCCAGAAGAGTAGACGCTGTTACTACAAGGTCCCTATTAATACTCTTAATTTTTGCAGAAAGGGGCAATTTTCATTTAAACGTGACGGAAAAGCATTGGTTAGGCTAAGTGGGCACTGTGCGTCGGAATAGTCCAGCACAGAATGTCTGCTAAGTAAAACCGCTGAGAAAACCAAAATGTGCCTTTGTTGCCCTTTGGTAGGATAAAGGTAGGCTATTAGGCAAACAATGCACCCTGCTAACGATAACTGCAAGGTAAACAATGAAACCCTGAACTTTAAACCCTTTTAAACCAATAGAAAGTGGTATATATATGAAGCCTCTGACTGTGAAACCTTTTACCATTAAAGTTGTTTTCTTAATGCTGTGACAATTTTGGGCATGTTCAGAGAAACAAAAAAAGAACAGCAGTAAACAGTAGAAATACATTCACATGCTACATTATAATATCGCCCTCTTGTGACAGTAAATGATATTGCTGGTTGTCTTTACAACAAGTCCAATAGAAGCAAAGTGCGTGATTGTGTTGAATGCAGTATTTTCAGCGTTTCTCATTACTCTAGTCTGTCATTAAATGCACATATAATACTGTTTAAACTGTTTGAACAATCTTCCTCTATCTACAAAATATTTCAAAGATAAGACATTTACCCTTTTCACGTGACGTAGAGAAAACGCGTACGCAGAGCCTCGCATAGTAATGTTTTTCAGTTTAAGGCGTGTATGAAATTTCCTGTACGGTTAAGAGTGGGGAGGGGCGGCAATGTGGACCGAATTGTGGCACTAGTTTAAAGTTTTAGCTTTCTATTTTTCTAGTTTCTATTTATGACACGTACCAGTTACATAGCTAGCCTACCACACATAAAAATACAGCATAATCTCTCATATTTTCTTATGCACACTCTTACACTGGCCAACTCACTCCTCACAAGATGAGGCCAATCCAAACAGCCAATCGAATCAAATGTAGGAATCACATCACGTGTATGCATCGTTCTACCAAATTGGTTTAAATGCAAAGTTCAAAACCTATAGGTTTCTATTTTTGACTTTTACTCATGAATGCGATTTCTGAAATCTTGGCTGGGCGTATGACTTTCAAAAATCTTAACAGATTTCTAAAACGGAGAGCATCACAAACTTAACGTCAGTTTGTCACCAAATTTCTTGTATTTTTGCCGTGAGGGCGCATTCACTAGACGATAAAGCAAAGAGAGTGAAAAAACACATAAAGAGTTTCGGATACGAATAAGAACTCAAAATCCCAGAGCTCCTCAGATAAACACGTGATGCAAACAAAGCTACCGAACCTGTTTGTGCTTTTATGCGTAGCGAAAGCGCAAACCTGAGTAAATATGGGGCTGAGAAAGGCTGATATCGCAGTGAGAGCTGGAGAAATGCTTCACCGCAAACTGGCAGCGGACTTGAAATTGTAGAGACAGTGACTTTGACGTCTGGATCCATACATTACAAACATGAAAACGGCTAAAAAGGTGGCTAAGTATGCAGGGGAAAAAGTACAAAGTATGCAGGGGAACAGATAGACTACACTCTGCAATTGCAGAAATACAAAGTGCACCTATATGGTAATTTGACCTAATCAAATGGAAAATGAGCATGAATACAGGTTTAGCTGTAAATAACAAAATGGCTAAAGAGTGTTTACATATAATAAAGCATGATGGTGTAATGCACTTACCGGTTTAGTGTTTTTCTTTAATATCTGTTTATTGGTATATGGTAACTGTTTGCTTACCTATGTTATTGCCATTCCACCCATTTTGTCTGTGTAAGACAATTAAAGCAATTGTTTCCTAATTATTTCTAGTGTTATCATTGAAATTCAGAATACAGGTGAAACATAAAGAAATTGTGACTTTACAAGGCATAATACAGTACATACTGGCTTAATAAATGATAATGTACAATATGTTCTGAAGATTGTGGCAGATGATTGATTGTTCAGCTGTATTCACCTGTGTTGTACAGTATACATTGGGACTGGCCAGTTGGTTTTCCTTTTATTTTTTATTTTTGCTTTCTCTGTTATGCTATATTTGAATGAACATGAAAGGCTACATCTAAGCAAATGCTAAGGTTTTGATTGAGTTGCATGTGGTAAATAAAAAGAGATTTAGAAATATGCAAAAAGTATTTGAAAGTGAACAAAGAATGCTGTAAGCGGACCAGCTACTTCATGCAGACAGGTAGGAATCTTTATTTATATTTTGCTAGCTGGGTAACTGACTTAAGACTTTAGACTAAAATCATTTTGTTTTGAGTGACCCTATACTTTGATTATGTTTATTTTATTAAAATAAATGAACAATGAACATTTTATTAAGTCACTTCCAAAGCAATCATAACACTACTGAAGCTTTACCAAATGTTTCAGTAGTGACAATCAAAGCTAATTTTGCATAACAAATGTTAGCAAGTACATTAGATTTTGTGTATTATATTTTATTACATTATTGGTCACTCCTCCTAAACCACACCCCCCATGTCCCTCCCAAACTTTACATCTTATTGTTCTTAAGTAAGCTCAAGTTGATTTTGGGGAGCTAATCTCCCCAGTAATTCAAACATTATCCACCACTTCTTCATAATAACAAGGTTAGAAACTGCCCCTTTCCTTATTAATGTAACACTTAACATCTTGATAAACTTCTGTATTTACATTGTTATTGCTCAATCTTTTTGGCTGACCTTCTCTCTCTCTCTCTCTCTCTCTCTCTCTCTCTCTCTCTCTTCTTTAGTATCACATTCAGCCTTGAAATTCTTGAAGATTTTATTCACTGTTTAAGGAATGTTCAGTTGCACTACAATGGCAGTTTGACGTTTGTCCACTTTACAGCATTTTCCATTGACTTAATGTGGAACAATCTTCAATTAACCTCTCAAGTAAGTAGACTAATTTGCATGTCTTCCATAAAGTTAATTTCATCTGTAACTTAAAAGAGTGTCTAATTACTTGCAGCAGCCTGATACTGTTTGGCAGAGGCCCAGCCAAACCAGATTTTTTTCCCTCACATGGCTTGTAAAGCCATCACTGCTGTGGAAATATGATGCACATCCTCAATCCTTTCTTAATCTCTGATCCTGAAGATGGTAGTGGTAGAGTTTACAAACTTAGGTATTTTGGGTGAAGGTTCACCCCTGGTACACTTGTTCGTGTAAAGGCCTAGAGCACAGGACACAACACACATTCACCAGTATGTAACAATAACAAAATGTAGATCAAAAGCAGAGGTGGTTAGCTACTTATTACATTTACTCAGGTACATGTGCCCAAATAGATTTGTGAGGAAAGCAATGTACTTTCTACTCTGTTAAATTTCAGTCACAGAAAGTGCTAATTACTTTTTGTGTTTGATTTCATTGTGTTCTGTTGGTGACAGCATCTGTAATGCTTTGCAATGTCACATCTCTGACTTTTGAAGTTTATCATTGAAGGTTTATGAAGTTTATGCATCAAAAAAAGAAAAATAGATTCTATCAAACTTCTACAGCATTTCTACAAAGTACTCAATACTTCTTTTTTACTTAAGTTGCTTTTTGTAAAGATTTATTTTTCCCTGAGTTATCATTTCAGTGAACTAACAATGCTTTTACTTGAGTATAAGTTTAGGCTACCCTACCCACTTCTGGTCAAAATTGTGTGCAAGGTAAATATTTTGAGTTTGAACGACATTGTTGTACTGTAACAAATAACAATAGCTCTGTGTCTTTGGCAGAGATTAGTGGAGTTGCCTAAAACCAAACGTTAGTTAAAGCAACAGTACTTAAATGAAAAAATGACTCAAGGGCTCCTTAGTGGTGCAAATGTCTGCATTCACCATATTCTTGAGGTCCTGATTCATGACAGTGCCACACACATCCATGGACAGCAGTAAAAGAGAGCACGGTTGGTCCTACTGCCCTCTGGGTGGGAAACATGGCTCATATAACAGAATTAGGCAGTTAGAACTTGTTCAGTTAGAACCATGTTCAACCTGCCAGTGACATTGTGTGAGCGACAGCTGGAAAACATGCAGTGGAGGAGGTACATCAGGGCTCAGCCTTCCAGCTTTGTGCAACAGAAGGAGTGCTAAGCCCTGTCCCAAATGGTACCCTAAGCCTTGCAGTCTTCCTCCAAGTCCACACTTTGGTGACATTGATAACGTGTGGATGTCTAAGCCAAGAGACCTTCGGGGTACTAGGTCTAAAGGTATCAGTTTGGGACTCATGCAACATACATGTTACACACATACTGAAGCAGGAGAAATGATGCCATCAGATAAACTTGTTTTTTAATTAAGATAGTTTGCTTATCTACATTGGTTTAATCCGGATTACAGGATTATTATAATGCATCTTAACAACAAGTAAAAAAGAAATAAAGATTTTAACTCACACCTTAATATCTTCTTCCCTGCCATGTTGATCAGATAGCTGTGAAGACGCCTGTCCTCTCTGCTTGGTTAGAAATCTTAAAGAATTTTGGCATTGATGTGGTCCTTGCTATAGGCTGCACTAGGGGATGCATAGATGTGCTGAGAACCCCTGTGAATCTCAGAATGACAAATGGGACACCTTATAGCCTCACGGCCCTCACAGGCATGCACAATATGGGTCCACTGGACAGTGAAAATAAATAAAATAAATAAATAAATACCAACATATAATGTCTTACAAAG